AGCACACAGCATATACAGAGGAAACTGCAGTTTACTTAATGTAAACCTAGGTCTGCATTTTCCTCTTCTGGTTACAACAGTAAAGTCCAAATCCTGGAGTTACGTATAGATTTCCTTTCTTTTATGATTCTAAGATACTTTATCTACCTCATCTACCATTCTTGGGCCAAAGCTGATTAAGTAGACAGTGGTACAATTTGAGTTAGAATCTAAATTGCTTATTGAATCATTCATTTTACTTCAAGTCGTTCTTTAAACCGTATTGCTTTTCTAGTTCTAGAATGCTTGCCACATCCCTTTTTATACATATGTGCCAAAGAGGAAGCTATGTTTAAGTACTATGCGTGGGGAAAGACATGAACTTGAAAAAAAATAAAGCCTTTGTTGCTGGTATATCTTGTTACAAATTGAAGGGGATTAGAGCATTCTGAGTAGGCATTTCTAATATTTTCTTAAACTGGTAAATGCCATGATTATAAATGCATGCAATTAGAAAAACACTTCACTCTAGGCTTTTTTTCAAGGTGTTTTTGAAATTAAAAAAGAAAGTTCAATGTATAATTATCACAGGTTTCTCTGGTAGCACTTGGTTTTCTTATTTTCTATTGACTAGCTGTAGGCAAAATTAGGCAGCCCTCATTCCTAAGTGCTGAGAATTATGTGAGAACTTTAAGAAGGGGATAGAAATGGGCTATGTCTTCTAAGCATTATGATAGTAGGATTAACATTTAGGCATTAGTTCTTTAAGAAATTACCTCTTATGTATTTCCTAATCTTTTTATTTATTTTAACATTTACTTGTACATACCTGTGGGGTACAGTGTGTTGTTTCAATACGTGCATAGACTGCACAATGATTCACTTAGGGTAGATAGAGTAGTTTTGTACCCATTAGCCCACCACTTCTCCTTATGATTATATCAATAGAGGAAGAGGCATGTGTTACCAAATGGGGACTTTTGAACTTGACCCTGAAGGAGAACTAATGGTCATAGAGAAAGACAGGGTGGAGCATTTCAGGCAGAGAGACCAGCGGGAAGACACGTGACTGAAGTACTGGATGATTCATGGGGATAGAAAGGGGTAGCTAGAAAGGAGGATAAACTTTGGCTGGGAAAGGCCCAGTGAGCCACCCTAAGGAGTTTAGACTTGCCTTTCTGGCAAAGGAAAGCTATCAATGAAGGGAATTGGCATAATCAGATGTGGTCTTTGTAAGATCTCTCTGGCATTGGTTTA